TCTGCACAAGGGCCAGCTATTCTATCTCAGCGTTGCAAATAGGGGTCTAAGCTGAGAGAATAAGGAATTGCTTAGGGCTAGCGACTGAGTTCATGGCAAAGATCTGAAGCAAGAGGAGGCCATCCTTCTCCAACTTGCAACATATCATAATCTAGGTTCTTGTGGGTTTTTTCGGGCTATAGGGCCATGTTCTAGAGCAGTGTTTCTCAACCTGGGGGTCGGGACCCCTGGAGGGGTCGCCAGGAGGTGCCAGAGGGGTCACCAAAGACCATCTGAAAACACAGTATTTCCTGTTGGTCATGGGGGTTCTGTGTGGGAAGTTTGGCCCAATTCTATCATTGGTGGGTTCAGCATGCTTTTTGATTGTAGGTGAACTATAAATCCCAGCAACTACAACTCCCAAGTGTCAAGGCCTATTTTCCCCAAACTCCACCAGTGTTCACATTTAGCATACTGAGTATTTGTGTCACATTTGGTCCAGATCCACCATTGTTTGAGCCCATAGTGCTCTCTGTAGGTGAACTACAACTCCAAAACTCAAGGTCAATGCTCACCAAACCCTTCCTGTATTTTCTGTTGGTCGTGGGAGTTCTGTGTGCCAAGTTTGGTTCAATTCCATCATTGGTGGAGTTCAGAATACTCTTTGATTGTAGGTGAACCATAAATCCCAACAACTACAACTTCCAATTTATGTTTCATAACAGGAGCAAAATTAGAGTTATGAAGTAGCAAAAGAATGTTATGGGTGGGGGTCACCACAACATGAGGAACTGTATTAAGGGGTCGCGGCATTAGGAAGGTTGAGAACCACTAGTAAACAGAATAATTTCTCCAGTAGTGTAGGGCATAGGCATCCTGTGATAGTGAGGCATGTCTCATCAAGAGCCACAGCCATTGTTTTAATGTTTAGATGAAGGGTTAGAAGGCAGGATCATCAAGTTTGCAGACGACACCAATTGGGAGGGATAGCCAGTACTCCAGAGGACAGGAGCAGGATTCAAAACGATCTTGACAGATTAGAGAGAT